AAACGTATATCAATTCATTTCACATTTAAATTTTCTCATTTAGTTTATAACATTACATTTCATTGTGTTATAACAGTTCATGTACACACATCCGGTAGAATAAGTCCTCTTTTAAATATTCACAAAGCTTTTCATTTTAAATATTTTTTATTCAAAAATGGTTTATATTATAACAAAACACTTCCTCTTTATTATACAAAGAGCGTGTGTGAATCGGTAACAAAGTTCTCGGCGAGTAAATTTTTTAAAAGTGTGAGGTGAATAAAATTTTAGTAGCTCACGAGGCTAGTGAAATTTTTGACAAATGCATAGGAAATTTTGACAATAATGAATAAAATTTGAAATTTTAGTGAAAACTTTCTAACTTTTCTAAGTATCATACAAAGTTTCAAACTTGGATTTATGTGGTTTTTGTTATAATATAAACCAGTTTTAAATAAAAAGTCTCTAACAAGAAGAGCTTTGTTAATATTTACAAAATGATAGTTTATGTAAAAGATTTAATTATAAAACAATTACGTCAAGGCAACAAATTGTTTGCCATTAAAAACGAAACTTAAGAAAATAAAAAATGAAATAAAATTTTTACATGACAACAAATTGTCCACCATTAAAAACAAAATTCAATATTTCAATTTTCATTCTGTCCTGAATATCTTCTTCATATTTCAGAAGATAGCTGTCCAGAACATTTAAAAAATCGGAATTACGGCTAACTGGGAGCAGCTTCTGATTTTTTTAACCAGTCGCTTACGGCTCCACACAGAGTGTCCAATCGCTCCTCATCTTTTTTCCGACTCAATGCTCTAGAAGGGGTCACAATTGGCTCTTCTTCGGGTTGGAAGTCAACAAGAGACGACGTTGATTTTTGAACCACTGTAGGTAGCCCTGTCTGCTGCGTCTGCTCAATTACGGGCTCTTCATCGTAGGAATATTCGAAAAGAGGTTGCGACTCATATACATTAATGGATTGCTCAGGCTGCGGTGTACATTTTTCAAAATTTATGTTGGTACCAAACGTTGTGTTGCCAAACGTCCTTAAATAATATACATACATCTATATAAGTGGACTTTTCGGCAATTGAAATACATTTTTAATTTTGTCTTAAAAAGCTTAAAATTCCAAAATATGTATATTATTTTAGGCGAGCATGCGGTGTAACCTCGTAATACTCTATTAAGTATTCGGGACTATCGCTGTAACCATCGCAGTCCGATTTTTGTGAAACTACGAAAATGTAATCACTGAATCTCAATTCCCAGGAACGTATGCATTCAAAGTATAGGCTACGGTCGTAGCTATGTATGTAAGTACATACATATGTATCCGCATTCAGTGATAGCACTTTTGAAGATTTCACGAAAGATCTGACTACAGTGGATTCAATGATAGCAATGGTTGCATA